GCCATGGATGCCTAATACACAACTTACATGGTGCAACACAAAAAATACAAATTAAACTGCTGAAATTAAATATAGTAAGCAGCATTCGCAGGCACTGTATGCTGTGTCTAATCTAATCAAGCATGCTTTATGGTAAAGCATGTCTAGTTACACATTGCCATAGCACACGTGGCATTCTTGGAATGAATATGGTGTGGTCTCAATGCCATTGTTGTAATGGTGTAATTTTTTGTAAATATATTCGCAAAAGGTAAAAATCCTTAATGCAATGTGCAATGCAACCGTAGAATTTCTCAATAACCCGCGGCATCGCACTTTTCCCTAGTGGAGCAGTTTAGTAAGAGCGTGTGCTGGGGAGCTGCCATTAAAAGCATCGGGCAAAATTTTCATTTTTTTCTCTAACTTTTTGCTCATATTTTGCAGTCAATCAGGAGCTACTAGTGTACACAATGCTGAATCTTCAGTAAGCCCTACACAAGGTCATTGTGGCGTTTATTGTCAGTGCAGAAGGAGAAAAAGATGTCGAGCAAATGCGCTGCGAAACTTGCCTGAAGCGACAATGTACTGAAAGATCGCGATGTATCTTTTTTGCTCCATTACAAAAAAGGCAATGCTGAATAAGAAGGTGAATGCAATAGTGACATCCTGTCCCTAGTGTGTACCCTTAGTTCATACTTTCTGTTGTATGATGTTACTCGAGAAGTTTAAAGGGACACTGAAGTCAAATAACAATTTACGTCAGAGTTATAGCTCAATGTATGACAACACCTAAAGCGACAATATTATCAACAACAGTGCCCTACTTACCGAAAATTAAGGTAAATGCACAAGACCACAAGCGCTGCAGTAGGACATTCTCAAAATGATCCCAATGACATGAGACGGACAGCCTACAATTAATCACTAGTAATCGATCTAACTGCACTAAATAAAGAACTTTCAGTGCATCAAGAGACGCAATAAAATTCTGCTTGTTCGTTTCCCTTTGATTCATGGAAAAAAGAAGCACCAGACATTATTATGGGGAATTGTGCGAGTGGTTGAAGCATTCAATTTTCGCGTTCTTACGTGGAACAGGTGGTGCCATCTAGCGGGGCGCAGTTGAAACAAAAGCGTCTGCAATCTCCGAGCCGATGGAGGGAAATTGATCAATGGCCATTTTTGATGCTGTGGCTCCCACTGCTTTCGGTACGCTGCTACTTGCACAGTAAAGCCGGTCAACGTTGTGCACGGCAACAGTGACCTGAGACGGACCGGTCGGTCCGCTTCTTGAGGTGGGTAACTTGAAGTGCGCTAAGCCAATGTGGGCCACTAAAACGTGACTATTTCGAAATAGGCTCTTCCTTGGCACAAAACTAACACTAGGAGGTTTCTGGACCACCATTTCAACAATCAACGTCGGCTTAATAGTTGACTTTAGAGTCTCTTTAAATTGCGGATCACTACAATGTAACCGATAAAGTCGAAATTGGCGTGTGTCTGTGAAGCTTTTGCATATGGCTGCATTCTGTGTAACAGGTAGCATGCTTCAAACCAATAGCAATTATGCGCCTAAAATGTTTTTGAACTAGCTATATAAATACATGCAGTAACATGTGCGCGTTTTGTAATGGGACAGCTTTAAACCACAAAGTCGTTATGATAATCCCATGTTTTGATTCCCGATCGCTTGTAAGTACCACACAATATTACTGCAACATTACACATTGTATTGTGAAGCCTGTATACAGAATGTGGGCGTTTGTGAAGCATGCCAGTTATTTTCACTGCATTTCTAAGCAGAGGAAGATATTAAAGATGACATTCTTTGTTGGGGACCTTCGACGAAAATATTTTAGTCTGTCTGTCTGTACATTTGTCTGTTTGTCCGCCCTAACGATACCTCAAACGGCACTAAACAGCCAACCCCATCCGCAGCACCCACCAATATTGCTCAAGGTTTAGCGTTCATAGTTGTGTGATTGTCAAATAAAAAAAGCAAATAGTGCACATATCTGAGGCGCCATAACACGATTATGTTTTGTATGCCTGCCTTTATACGAGAAGAGGCACACACAAGTAACTCTAAGGACTGTAGCGTTTATCGCGCTGTACTGACAGTGCAACACGATGCTCAAGAAGGTGTTTCCAACGCTTTGCTACGACGACATAGTGGTGGCACCTGCCCGTCGCTTTGCATTCTACACCTTATCACCTCCGAGACTGGCGCACATCTTTCTTCGCGGTCGCGCGCGCCTTCGTTTTCGAAGATAACTGCCAGATAGCGCTCGGGTCTTACGTGCCTTGATGCGCTTGTTCGCCTCCATTACACGCTCGAGGCAATCAATCTAACGCAGCGCCTTCAGAATACCATTAACCGATTTTCTTGTGCAGAACATTAAATAAACGTTTTGTTCACTCTCTCTAGGCGCAAGACTATCGTATTTCGACGACATTTACAGAGTAACATGTAGATTCGGGCCAATTTTTTTTTTTTACAATATTTCCGAGCAGATGCATGGCTGTGTTGTAAAACACCTGTTTGCCAAGCAAACAACTCAGGTTGGATTCTCACTTGGAGTCGGAAACTTTTATTACTTATTTTATTTGCATCTTGATTTTTCAGTCACGGACTAGATGATGATTTTTCGCTCACGACCAAAGACGCCAACACAGACACAACTCTGACACTAACGCCGGAATTTTCGCGAAAGAACTTTTCAACATTGTAATGTTAATAAACACTCTCCGGTGCCCCGCCGTGGTGGCCTAGTGGCTAAGGTACTCGACTGCTGACCCGCAGGTCGCGGGATTTAATTCCGGCTGTGGCGGCTGCATTTCCAATGGAGGCGGAAATGTTGTAGGCCCGTGTGCTCAGATTTGGGTGCACGTTAAAGAACCCCAGGCGGTCAAAAATTTTCGGAGCCCTCCACTACGGCGTCTCTCATAATCATATGGTGGTTTTGAGACGTTAAACCCCACATATCATTAAACACTCCCCGGCCACATTTTGTCTTTTGTTAAACTGGCCCTATGTTCAGAAGCCTGTTAAGCTTCTTTTGCAGGTAGTGACCCTGAAGTTAGGTTAGATTATGTTTGGTTATGTTCACTCCCTTAAATCACCCCCTGAAGTCACTACCTTAAGAATAGAATGAAGAGGTCTCAAAACCTGGGGTCAGTTTTTAGGGGTGATGCTCCTTATAGCGGCACCCTATCGTCCCTTGTAGCCGTTGTAGTATGTGACAACTATAACATTTTGACCCCCAAGGTGGTGCCGGTGAGAGATTTCTTCTGTGCGTTGTTGAACACTAAAAAATAGCGCTCAATGTACATGCCAATGGCTACAAATGGGGAATAAGAGACAGGAGCATTCGGCTTTTAGTCAACGTGCACGCTGCGATCCCCATTGAGCACTATCTGACAAGAAAGGGTTGCTACGTTATACTCGCTGGGTGTAACCTCCTTAGCTTTAGGAAGGTTTAGCGAGCGTTGAGCGTCAGTGCCATGAATCCAATGAACTAGTATATACCATGAATGAACTCGAGGTGGTTAAAGGTGGGAAGAGATGTGGTTAAAGGTGGGAAGTAGATACGAAGCGCAAGCCGTAAGAAAGTAAAAGCCGAATTCCTCTGTCTCTCATTTCCCGTTAGCAGCCATTGGCATGTACATTGAGCACTATCTGACAGAAAAAGGTTGCTACGTTATACTCGCTGGGTATAACCTCCTTGGTTTTAGAAAGGTTTAGCGAGCGTTGGGCCACAGTACCATGACTACAGTCAACTAGTATGTACCATGAACTCGAGGTGGTTAAAGGTGGGAAGTAGACCCGAAGCGGAAGCCGTAAGAAAGTGTGCGTATGGCCACCTCTCATTTAGTCCTTGGAATGTCCGCTGGATGGCGGTGCTTCTATATGGGGAACATATGATGAAAAGATGAGAGATGGTGGTACTTGAAGTGTTGAATAGATGGACGAACGGACACACAGACAGATGCATGGATGGACGCATGAACCGACGCAGGAGCGGATGCATGGACGAACGCAGGGACGGACGCACGAACAGACGCATGCATGGACGGGCGGATGGACGCATGGACGGTCACACAGACGGACGCATGGACGGACAGAAGCAAAAACGAATGGACGTACGAATGCTTCGCCACACTCTCCATCATTCACTCCATTGATATGCTGCCAATTTTTTTTAAATTAAGAACTAAAGAAAAATGTGGCTGAAGAGTCTGCTGATTTTGATAATGTTACCCAGCCAGGCTGATTACTGTCAATTATGTTTACTTTTTTATAAGGAGTGGTTTTGTCACATTAACCATGAACGTGCTGAATTACACGTTATTACTTGCCTAATCTGCCGAGAAAAAAACTGCACGTTTGTGTTGTTCTGTGCCTCTAGAACAACCTCAGCTAAATGACAAAAAATGATTTGAAAGGCTATGTTTCACTAGCAAGCAAATACCAATACTGGAACACTTTCATTTTCTTATGATAACTCTGTCGAAGGGCTACACACAAAGGCAAATTAGCATCCTATTCCTTCATACGCAACACGGTTTGCTGTACTCAAGGTAAGATTGAATGACTCAAACCATCACCTGCAAATTTGATGTAAATATTGTTCCACACATTTATGGATTGCACAGAGGCAAACGGTTGCCTTTTATATTGGTGTCTAGAGACCGACTGGGGATATTTGTGAGACACAAAGACAGGTTTGCAGTTTTTCTTTATAAACTAGGCAAGTAACAACACCACACGTCACACCAGAATTCCGCGGTTAAAAAATGTGACCTTCTCGCGATATTCGAGCAAGTATGAAACTGCTGTAAATGCAGTATCCTATATGTAGATAAAAATAAACACACCTTTCTATCTCTTCGTAACAACTTCGATAAGCTTTATGCGACTTGTCAAGGTTTGGTATACAAGCAACATTTCTTTTTTTGCAAGCTACGAGTGCACAAAAACAGTAGATGTGTCTAGAATTAAAGAATAATGTATGACATACTCAGGGTTGTATGAAAAGAAGACATTGTTGAACCGAATCTCGCCTTCTTTCAGCTTCAAACTTGGGGCATTCACAGCATCTATCACCTGCAGAGAATGACACAGCAAATATTTCTAAAGAAAGCATTGAGCAGTGACAAACAAGCAAGAAATAACTGCTGTGAAGCCAGGGAACCATCCCATCTAATAGGTGAAAATTTGGACATGATGGCGTGATTTTCGAGGTAAAAACATCCTCATTATGTCTTGAATTTGAGACATATGATCAAAGACTGCATTAGAGAAGCAAGGAGACCATCAAGTGAAAAAAGAAAAAATGCCATGGGTGCAATTATTTATTAGCAGTGAATCTTTCGTGTGCCATCACAAATAAAGCAATGATTCTAAACAATGATGCCACGTTTCTATGAAAAAAGCAGCGTTGATTGCATTAACTAAAAAAGGCACACTAAAAAGGTCAAAAAGATTTATATTCACAGTGTTTACAAATCAGAGTCTAAATTACCACAAATGTTGATCACTGTTCACGATTTCCTAAAGCAAAAACTTTTGCATCAGCAAGCTGCTGTCCTTTTAGCATCCTTCAACAAACACCTACACTACTATTTGTGAAATATCTAAAGCAAACTGTTGGTCGAACCATCAACAACATTTCATACTTTGCAGTACTCCAAGACTTCGTTCCTAATTCAATGTGTCTGAGTAGACCTAGTTGACTAAGGATCAGAAACGATTTGCTGGTACTAAAAGACGAAAATAAAACAGACACTCACTTCAGGCTTAGTGTCAAGAAGCTCAAACATGTTCTCCATGTCAATGAAAGAACGTTGAATCATTCTGAAAATACACATAAAAAAAGAACAAGTCAAACCCTTCCGAGGGGCATCTGAATCATGACATTTTAATGATTACATGATCGACAAATGAAAAAGAGCTAGAGTGAAGCAACAAGCTAAGAGCTCTTCACAATCAAGTTACGTCTTATGGTTACATCTAACGTCAATCCAGTAGCATCTAACACTATCAGATACAGTTGGATTGTTCCTGTGGGTTATACGATCTTTCGGGGTGACAGAGATTGCAGAGGCTGTTGTTGCACTGGTGATTAAAATTGAAAAAGTCACAACAAAAAATTACCACCGTATCCACAAAGTGAACGATGTGAAAAGAATGCTTGTTAATGAGCCGGCTCATGATGTGTACGTCGAAGGCAGGATTTTTGGGCACGTTTCACATGCTCCTCTCAGCTTGGAGGCGGCACGCCCTTGCGCACGGCCAGACCGAACACCACTGACACCCTCCTATTTTCCTCTCTCTTTCACATTCCTTTCTCAGCCCCACTACCTATTTCCCGTGTGGTGTTGTTGAGGTGACCTCCTCAGAGAGAGACAGTTACGACACTACACTTTTCTCTTCACTTTTCTTTCTTTCAAAGCCACTTCGAGGAGGTGAGCGCATGAGCCATCGAGAACTGACGCCTTGGGTGGCAGCGTACCATCTAGTGAGCATTGTTAGAACCTTGAGCAGCAACTGCAGAAGTGTACACACTGGCAACACTGGTTTAGGTGCCGGCAGCCACCGTAGGACAAGCCGCGAGCAAAAGGAGCAAGCTCTTAAAATAAATTGCAGCTTACCAAAAATGGTCTAGTGTAAGGTCAATCACGCTACTGCAGTGTAAATTGAAGCTGCTTACAGATTGTTTTACACTCCACCTCAGTTCTTAAAGGACTTGAACATGTTTTCATGCTCCAATGTAAATTAAAATACAAGGCAGATAATGGCTGGTGATTTCCACTTGTCTCACAGTAATAGGAAAAAACTTTACATGGGGCCTATAGAGACTGCTAATGATGACATGTTACTTGAAGTAATGCTTATAACCTGACACAAACAATAAAGGAATATTATACGAGAGTTACCCTTATGTTGCAGTCATTATTGGACTTGGTTTTTGTCTCTTGTAAAGTGTATGATATTGCTACGTAGCTGACGTATCAGCGGTCAGAAGACGACAGCGAGGAAGTGGTCTGTCGGTTGTGCGTGCTGTCTTCCATCTTAGTCGACGCCATACGCATCAGTTTGAATATAGATTTTAAATAGACACGCCTTGTGTCATTTTTGCTGGGTACTTCCCCGTCTGGGTACGTGCTGGGTACTTCCCCGTCTTCATCACAAAGCTCCGCAACGGCCGCATCATCATAGGTCCAACCATGTCACAGGTTGAACAACCATCGTCTTCGCCACCTGCCCCTACCGTGACTTCTACATACGTCGTTCTACCTCCTGCTCGTGATCCTGGTGTATTTTCCGGTCAGGATGGCGTTGACGTCGACAAGTGGATCAACCGGTACAAACGGGTCAGTGCAAGCTATAGGTGGAACCCGACTCTTATGCTTGCCAATGTGCTTTTTTACCTCGATGGCCTACCGCGAGTGTGGTTCGAGACACACAAAGCGGAGATTAAAAGCTGGGACTCTTTTAAAGAGATGACCCGCGACATTTTTGGCGACACCGTTGGGCGGCAGATTGCAGCGCGGAATCAACTGGCGGCTCGTGCACAGACGTCGACGGAGTCGTACGTCGCGTACATTCACGACGTCATCGCCCTATGCCACCAGATTGACGAGCACATGAGTGAGTCGGAGAAAGTGGCCCATGTGCTGAAAGGCATAGCAGACGACGCATTTAATCTTCTAGTTTACAACAACGTTGCCACCGTCGACGCCATCATTAAAAAGTGCCGGCGGTTCAAAGAAGCCAAGAGCCGCCGTATTACTCAGCGATTCACCCGGCTGCCCAACACGGCCGCGACCTCATCATGTGAAGCCGCCCGCCAGTCCCCCACGTATGACAACGTCACACGCATTGTTCGTCGGGAAATCGAAGCCGCCTGTCCGGCTCCTCTTCAGCCACCCGTTTTCGCAACGCTGGCCTCTGACCAACAACAGCTGTCAGTGGCGTTAATACAAGGTGTGGTGAAGCAGGAGTTTGCGAACCTCGGCCTTCCATCAGCATGTCCCTTGACTCGCCCTGAAGTCCCGTCCTACTCCCGAGGACACGCTCGCCGTTCACCTCCAACAATGCCCTTCCGTAACCCTTCGGAATGGCGAACACCCGACGACCGGCCTAGTTGTTTTTCCTGCTACCAACCTGGGCACGTTTCTCGCTATTGCCGCCGCCGTTGGTCAAACCAACCACGTCGGACTTTCTCTATCTCGGCGCTCATGCATCCAACGACCCCTCGACGTTTAGTCGCCGCACCCTTCAATTTATATTCGTCGTCATCTTACGAGCTTTACACTGAAGCCCCTTTGCCCGGTCGCCACTACCCTGACGCCCCTTCGTCCGGTCGCCACAGCTCTCGCTCCCCGTCACCGCTACGTCGCCAATCCCGCTCTCCGCCACCTCGGCGCTTTTCCTCACCGAGCTTCTCTGGACGACCGCAGCAGGAAAACTAGATATTTCAGCTTATAGAGGTGAAGCTGCAATACCAATGACGGCCGAAAATCCTCTACTGACGCTTCCCACACACCATAGCCTGCTTGAAGTACAAGTCGACTATGTTCCTGTGACTGCACTCATTGACACAGGTGCGCACCTGTCTGTTATGAGCGCTTCTCTACGCTGCCTCTTACAAAAGATTATGACGCCATCTACGACGCAGGCAATACATGTTGCTGATGACGGTACTGTACCAGTAATTGGAATGTGCACTGCTCGTGTCAGCATTGCCGGTTCGAAATCAAAATCAAATCATTTTATTTTCCCAGAAAGAAACAGGTTCTGGAGAGGTTCACTGGCTAAAAGCTGTTTATGGACAGCTTGACGAGGCCAGTGAACCCTATACCAGGCAGGTGGGACAATGACAAAGATGTGTATAACAATAAAGATCATAAGCTAACATTACAATACCGAATACGGTGTAATAAAAACATATATATACATTCCTACGAAACATCCTGATACCAGCATAGCACAGAAGATTACATCGACGCGAGCAAAAAGAAAAAAACAAAGAAAAAACAAAACAAAAATCCAGCAACCATAACACCATTATTGCCAAAAAATAAAATAATAAAAATAAAATAAATGATTAAAATATCAGGGAAGATATATACAAATTTGCTCCTTGTGTATGTGCTGTATTATACAATGTACATGACATGTCAGACAAACAAAATTAAACAGACAGATTATATCATATAACCTATTCGGTACAGCATGGATGCACACACTGAAAAAAAAATGAAATTGTACTATCGTACAGACAGCACATTTTACAACCTGAAAAAGTTAGCCTATATTTACAAAAAAGGATCGTAGTTCTTTTAATGAGAAACTGTTTAGGTGACTGTATTTATTGAGAATCATTGGTAAATTGTATTGCAATGTTTGAGATTTGTAATTATTGCGAAACCTCGGAACAATCCAAACATCGCTGCTTCTTGTTCCAAACAAAACATTTTTTTGCAGTTAGACATGCAGTTTCTTTAATGAATTGTTTAAACGAAATGGACGAGAAATAGCAGGATCGCAGAATGCGAAAGACATACATATATTCCACTTTAATAATACTGTAGTCCCGACACACAAGTTGTGTTGATGACAAATAATCTAAACTAGCGACATGTCTAATAACGTTATTATGCATGGTCTGAAGTTTCATTATGTTAGTTTCTGTCGTGGTTGCCCACACCGAACTGCAGTAATTTATGTGCGAAAGAAAAAGAGCATGGTATATTTGCAGTTTCACCTTTGCGGATAAGATATGTCTACAACGAGCTAGCACACCAACTACACTAGAGGCTTTTTTGCATATGTCAACGACGTGTTGGTTCCAGCTGAGGTTTGATGAAAACATGACGCCAAGAATTTTATGTTCATCCACAAAACGAATGTCTTCACATGCGTAAGCCAACGCTTGTGTTGATGAAAATATTTTGTTTTTAGCTCGGAATACGATGGCTTTTGTTTTCAATGGATTAATTTTCAATAAATTTTTGCTAGACCACAAGAAAAGCTTGTTCAATAGCTTATTACACCAGATAATTAGCTCATTTGCATCAGGGCCTGAAAAAAGTAAGCTCGTGTCATCAGCATATATAACAAAGCTCACATTGGGATCAATATTCACGATGTCATTTATGTAAGCATTAAATAATAGCGGCCCCAGTACGCTTTCCTGGGGCACACCATTTAGAACAGGTAAATATGATGACGTATGAGTGCTTAACTGAACGCATTGCTGTCTATTTTGCAAGTATGACTTTATCAACTGAAGTGACGTGCCACGGATTTCGTATGATTCTAGCTTAAGCAGTAAAATGATATGATTAATGCAATCGAAAACCTTGCTAAAATCAAGAAAAACAGCTAACGTGAAAAGATTTTGTTCAAAATTTTGCAGTATCATTTCTTTAAGAGTTAATAGGGCCGTCTCCGTTGACCTTACTTTCCTAAAACCAAACTGAAAGTCAGTGATTATATTTCTGGAGCAGAAGAAGGCAGATATACCCGTATAGATTAACTTTTCTAATCCCTTATAAAACACAGGACTAATAGATATAGGTCTATAATTAGTCACCAGGTTACTGTCACCACCCTTGAACAACACAGTCACTCTGCTTCTTTTCATATCTTCTGGAAAAACACCCGACTCAAGTATCAAATTAAAAATGTGGCTGAGCGCAGGAGTAATGCAATCTAAGACATATTTTATAGGTTTTACTTGAATATTGTCAATGTCTAGTGCCTTACTGTTCTTTAGGTTCATGAATGTTGTGTAAATTTCTCGTTCATCCGTTGGTGCTAGAAAAATACTGTCGGGGCGTTTATTT